ATTTGGTGATTGGAGTCAGGCAGTGTGTTCAGGCACAAAGATATCCACAAAGCGACATGGATTTCACCAGACACCAGGACACACTAAAAATCAAATCGACTTTATCTCAATCTCAAGAAAATGGAGACGCAGTCTACTTAACACAAGGTCAAGAAGAGGAGCAGATGTAGGTTCAGACCACTATCTAGTGCAAGGAACCTTCCAAATCAAGTTAAAAGCCTTCAAGGAAGCTGGTGATAGACCTCAATTCAAGTACAACACTCGGAAACTGAAGGATGAAACTACAAAGGAGATCTTCAAGGCAGCCATCAAGACAAAATGGGAGACATCGAGCAACATCCCTGAAGAAACCTGTGTGGAAGAACACTGGAAGTCTTTGAAAGCTATGTGGAAAGAAACCTGCACAACAGTATTAGGAAGGAAGAAGAAAGAAGACAAGGAATGGATCTCGACGGATACCTGGAAGCTGATAGAGAGGGAGAGGAGGATGGTGAAGCAGAAGATAAACCAGTGCAAGGATGCTCAACGACAAGAGGAACTGAGCACAATGTATAAAACACTGGATAAAGAAGTGAAGAAGAGTGCACGGAAAGACAAAAGACACTTCTACGAAACACTGGCAAGTGAAGCAGAACAGGCTGCAGGTAAGAGAGATCTGACGACATTGTATCAAATAACCAGGTTGCTATCAGGGAAGAGACCAACACAGATGAAACCAATAAAAGATGAAGAAGGAAATTTAATTACAAAAGAAGGGAAACAGAGGAAACGATGGGCCGACCACTTCAAGAAGCTCTTGAATCGACCACCACCACCACCTGCACTTCGTCCAGAAATACCACCTGCAGCTGCTGAATTACAAGTGAACATAAATCCCCCAACGAAAATGGAAGTCCTGAACGCCACGCCATAAAGCTACTGAAATGCGGGAAAGCAGCACGACAAGATGGAATACCGCCAGAAGCAGTGAGAACAGATGCAGAGACAACAGCGGACATGCTCACACCACTATTGCAGAAGGTGTGGAAGGAAGAGAAGGTACCTATCATTGATTGGAAGAAGGGTTACCTTGTCAAACTGCCGAAGAAAGGAGACCTCAGTGCTTGCAAGAACTGGCGAGGAATCACTCTCCTGTCCACCCCAAGTAAAATATTAAGCCGCATCATCCTGGAGAGGCTTAAAGATGCACTGGATTCAAAACTGCGACCGGAACAGGCAGGCTTCAGGAAGTACAAATCATGTGCAGACCAAATTGCAACGCTTCGCATCATCATAGAACAGAGCATAGAATGGCAATCAGCTCTCTGCCTCAACTTCATCGACTTTGAGAAGGCCTTTGACAGCGTCGACCGAGAAGTAATTTGGAAACTGCTTCAATACTATGGAGTACCGCAAACCTTTATCCGCCTCATTCAACAACTATATGAAGATGCCACATGCCAGCCAAGTAATTCACAATGGGAAGCTCAGTGATGCTTTTGAAGTGAAGACAGGAGTGAAACAAGGTTGCCTACTATCCCCATGATATTCCTGATTGTGGTCGACTGGACTGGATCATGCAGCAAACAGTAGGCAGCGAGAAGAGGGGGATACGCTGGACTGCGGAAAAGAACCTAGAAGATCTGGATTTCGCCAATGATGACTTGTGCCTAATGTCACATAAACTTGAAGATCTGCAGGCAAAAACTAACAAGTTGATAGAAGAGGCAGCGAAGACGGGACTTCAAGTGAATATAGAGAAGACAGAGGTGATGAAGATACCGCACCACCACCATCAACAACAACAACAAACTCCAGTCACCATCAACGGGAGAAACTTAAAGGAAGTAACCTCCTTCACCTATCTAGGAAGCATTGTTTCAACTACAGGCGGGACGGACGAGGACGTCAAAGTCAGAATCGGAAAAGCAAGACAGGCGTTCATTAGCCTGAAACCAGTGTGGAGATCTTCTGCACTCAGCATGTGGAACAAGATACGGATTTTCAACACCAACGTCAAGTCAGTGCTCCTGTATGGTTCAGAGACTTGGCGCGTCACGAAAGGCATTTCCAATAAACTACAGACATTCATCAACAACTGCTTACGCTCGCTACTGGAGATCAGACGGCCAGAAAGAATAAGCAACAAGGAACTCTGAGAACGAACCAACCAAGAACCTATCACGCAACAAATATGCAGGAAGAAGTGGAGATGAATTGGCCATGCACTGAGAAGGCCGACTGAGGACATCACGCGTCAGGCCAGTCACTCGAGTGGAATCCCCATGGGAAGCGACGAGTTGGACGTCCAAGGGTGACATGGAGGAGATCGTGTGAGGAGGAAATGAGAGCTTCTGGGCTGTCGTGGGACCAGGTTCAAAAGATCTCAGAGAACAGAGGTCACTGGAGACGTGCTAGTGAAGCCCTATGTTCCACTAGGAACCCAAGGGACTAATAATAATAATAAACATGGTTTGAACATGTGTTGCATATACAAATTCACAGACTACCTCGACGTCCAGTGCCAGCCGAGGTAGGACTGAGTTGGGAGAAAACTACGAGTGACGAGACCAAGATGTGGTAACCATTCATGAGGTTTGTGACTGTTGTTCTGAGCTGTGTAGGGAGGCTTAGATTGCCTGACTGGGGTCCTCGATATAACAGGAATCAATAGCTGGTGACCCTTAATGAAATGGCTGACAATCAGTCACGATAGCACAGATATAGTCACTCTTCGATGTACTTTAAAGTTTGAACATTTTCACTAATCTTCGTTTATTAAACTTGTTCTACTCCCTTACACTTTAGTCTACTCTGATATCACTTTTCCTATCCACTTGTTCTTTGCATACTACTGTGAAGTGTGGTAACTTGAACCGATGCACTTCTGTGCGAGGTTCTACGTTGACTTCTCTTTATCTCTCTAACCCACATTTGTCAGTTGTCTCTTAGTAAAAAAAAACAAAACATGAAGGTGCATTATTCTAGCCTTGTTAAAGAAAAGACGTACTAACATGACACAGAGAGTTATGTAGAGTCAAATACTGACTTGATAATTAATAAAGGAGTAAAACTGGAGCACTATGACAGGGCATGATTTCATAATCACTTTGTTTAGCTTAAACAACACACAGTGGTACAACATCCTTTACTTGATAACATTTCGGGCACAATTTACTGCCCGATTTGACGATTACTCTGAAGGATTGGAAGGTGTCCACATTGTGTCCATTATACGAAATAAAATAAACTCAGGTTGTTCTACTGCTATGTTTGAAACATCACTCACATTAGTAATACTAAATCACCGTGAGCTATACACAATACACAAATCTGATATGGAATCGTCCTAATAAATCAGTCAGTGATATATCATTATCCTCCTGACAACAGTTTGCGGTTTCAACGTAGTTTCCAGAATATGGTGAATCTAATTCAATGATGTAGCTTTCCTGCTTCTTACTACTGTCTCAGCCACATGAGGGTTTGAGCACTAGGCGCTCAGCTAAAGTGTAGGCTCCTCTAACTTCTATAGGTGGACAGCACAACCCAAATAGGTGATTTGTAGGCCAACACTGGGGCTTATCAAATGCAGTTACCTTAGTGTATAGGCAAATAAGTAAAAATTAATGATTGCTACGCCAAGCAAAATAGTAACTATAACTTTCTTGAGGCGGTCAAAGGTCTCATCATTTAATAATTGACCCGGGTATTTTGAGCTGCTAGCTGAATGCCTATTCAACGACGCACATGTGTTTGTCCTTGGTCGGATAACCAGCTTATTGGTGACTCTGATGCCTACGGTATTCCAAGTGGCCGTGCAAACGTTTGGTCGACGGCGCACATTTAAGCTGCATTCCACGACTCAGGTGTTTACAAGACGGGAGAGTTTAGGTGCATGACAGCGGACCTTCACATGGTTCTTGATAAGTAGATATCGACCTAAAAACCAATTCACCGTCTCCCCGTCCGGTGCTAGGGCTCCAAGGTGAAGAAACCCACCCAGCTTGGGTAATGGCGGAGCTAATCAGATGTTAATAAATACTCTGAGACACCTAACCTGTTTGCTCTGGTGCTCATACAATGTGGTGTGCTGGGCAACAGGGGAGTATGCAGTACATGCGAGATATGATGAAGGCGCTGGGGTATATACATGTTATGTTCTCCGAGTAGGACAGAGCTGGTCCGTGTGCTTCCTTATATCTCTGGTATGAGTTGTGGATCAATGATGAGGTCTGCCAACACGCAGCCAGTAAAGGTTAAAATCCCTGGCTCCCACCACTAACCGAGGTGAGAGGGGGATTGGTATTGGTCGAGCGATGAGTGAGAGATGACGTCGGGCTTAAAGGGATAACCCACGCTGGGCACTCGATGCCGTCCCAACTAAGGAAGTACGGATAGGTACATGGAACTTTTGAGCACTCTCCGTTAGTTGGAGTACATGGCCTTTTGTGTACACCGTCTTCATGTATATGCGCCCAATTAGAAGCTGGCTCATTGGCAGGTGACGTTGAGTTGACTTTTAATAGGCAAGGGTTGTAAAATCTGAATTCACTATGGAGCTTGTCATATCCCATTACTTTGGTAAAATTAATGATTACTATCTCTAGAAAAATAAAATTTAACATCAGTTGCACAGATGGGCATACTCTGAATCTTAAAGACTGAACAAAAAGTGTTCACCAATTTCCTTCTCAGGCTATTCTACATAAAGTGAAATTGTTCACATCACATCCTAACGATGGATAGTCACATAAAATCTACAAAGAAGTGAATTAGGTGGTCATCATCACTAAACAGATAGGCACACAGAGTTATCGCTTGCCCCATTTTGCGATTAGAAAGGACCTACTAGCAAACATCCATGAAAACAGCAATGAATGACAACCGACAAAAAACAGGCCATCTAAGACTTAATGTTATTGACGGAATAACTATCAACGAATAAGAGGTATGAAACATGAAGCCGAATAGAAAGTTGTATAAAAGAGAAAAAGAAAGACAGCAGAATTTTATCTTACCTGATCTAAGCAGATAGCCATTGGTTTATTTTCACAACGACCTTTAATACGAAATATTCGTTCAATGGCTTCAGTATTATGAACAGAACAAGCCAATCCATAGATGGTATCCGTTGGCAAGGCTATAACACCACCATGAGTAAGCATTTGAACAATTGTGTTCAAGTTTAAACCAGCTGTAGAATGAGGGGAAAAAATGAGTAGGCTCTAAGTAGTAAAAAACTAGTTGGTGAGTTAAGCTTGACAAAGCTGCCACATACTGACTGACTTCAAGACAGTTTTCATAACGGAATGAAATCAGTTGAAGAATCGATGAAAACTATGGGCAACGGACAGTTGTTTTGTTTTCGACTTGGGACTTCTTGGTAGAGCCCATCCACGACTCTGAAAGAGATCGAATCCAGAAACACTAGATTACAAGTAAAAAAGGTGGGTCACTAGATTCCGACGTCATACTGAACGGTAAGGTGATTGCCGCGAGATCTGACAGTCTCAGGCCTGATGCCTCGCAGGATCATTGCTGCGGACTGCTGAGTAATTCCAACCTAGGAAGAAATAACTATCTAGTTCTCCGAGGTTTTACATGATTCTCCAACTGATTCCAATCCACGATGAAAACTACATTGAAATCAATAAATCACCACGACTCATCCCCCCCCCTTGCCTTAGTTGAATATGGATCTGTTGTTCATCCATGAAAAAATTACAAACAAGAACTCTATTGTGTAGCTAGTTAGAAAAGCGTAAGGAGATGCGCAACTCTCTCTTCCATGCTACATTCTTAACTATACTCCCATCTAAGGATATTTATCAACCAATAAGCAATTAGATAATACAGAGAATTGGTTGTATCGATAAAAAAGGAATATATGTTTCGTTTTTTTAAGGTTATTCATATAATCTAGGGATGACTGAACTTAATGGGCCAAGCTGTTCATACTATATCATATTAAGCACTGCTTCGCTCGACATTTTCCAAATCATTTTGTGAGATTCTCTGTTTCTTCAGTCATTTTTCTAGTTAGGAGATTGTAGGAACATAGTCTCTTCAGATAACAACTTTGGTAATTTATCCATATGGTCAGATGGATTCGGGACACGATTCTTGCCTGAGTTTCAATTCGACATGTTAATATGAAGTGTAGTAAGTTAGATCATCCAAAATAATGCAAAATTTTACACTTCTTATGTCATTCCCTTTTCTTTGTAAAGATGAAAATACAAGGGTAGTAACAGCTTTTAATAATAACTATTATTATTATTATTATTATTATTATTATTATTATTATTATTATTATGAACGAACTATGCCCGACCAGTGGCTGATATCAATATCTACAAAAAAATGCAATACTCACTCAGCAGCCTCATACACTTTCGTGTAGTAAGCAACGAGCCACAAACGTTTTGTTAGGGTTAATGATGCTACTTGGCTATCCAAACCTCAGCAGGCGGAACAGTACTAAAACCCACGACCAACCGGTTGAAAGGTAAGTGAATACATCAATGAGCCGAGGTTGCACAATATCCGGACAGTGTCCAGGATTGTATATCGTAATGACCCAACGAGCTATATCAGTGGACCACTTGTCAATTCAGGTCCTACCAGAAACATCTGTTGAATAACGGCAAGACAAGGAGCCCCTAAAGTTATAGTGAGAAACGCAATTCTATGATAGGGTTCCATGGAAGAACTTGTACTGTAGACTCCATGAGACGTGATAGCGGGAAGACTTTTCCCATGAATGACACGACCACCTTGACGTTCCCTTCCCTATAGGATGGGGGAGGGTAGAAAAGGTCTGCCCCAAAATAAGCGCACACCTTCCCCTCTCCTCCCTAAGACATTCGGATGCTGATGGCATAGGATTTCGTCCTCCTTCAATACAGCAATCAAATCTAATTCGGAATCTTTTTAAAAGGTCGTATGTGACAAGCATCAAGTAGATGTGTCATGGACTCTGCAGTCGAGCAACACTATTACTCACTAGTCAGTCTTAACTTTTAGCGACCTTGCAGAAACAATTTCCATTGTGTGGGTTACCCAGAAGCACCGTCCTCCCGCACACTTCCAGTTATATACAAAACTTAACTGAACATAGCCTAAGTCTTTTCCATAGCTTTCACTTCCTCATACCAACATTACTTCCCTTATTGATCTCCTCAACTTCCCGCCCTTCAAACCCTGCTATCTGAGCCAACAATACACTACTACCAACCTCCTAACCCCACGCTCCCAATTTCACTTTGCAGTTATCAACACCCAAACCCCATCCCAAATCAGAAAACAGGCCTCACTCACAAAAAATTATAAAATATCGAACCACAGATGAGTGCTATTTTCTTGAGAAATGCCTACATAACCTAAGAGCTATTACTTACTTGACCTCATCTAGGCACTGTGATGAGTCTACGAAACACCTTACGAGTATCAGGACATTCAGCAGTTAAATACCGCGGAGGTATAGCATTAAGTTGTAGAACAGAAAGAACACTTCTCAGTTGGATACCACTGAACAGCTACCTGAACACCATTCGGGTGAACAGATTGGTAAGAACTGGAAATGACAGTGATTCTCGTCTATGTCTATTCGTAATCTCCATCAACGCGCCCACCGACTCCAGTTTGGATGGTACGAGAGATGAATTCTATCCAAAAAATATCTGTTTTTCTACATAGATATGGTCAAAGTAGCGAGTGACTTCAACGCTCAAGAAGGTAAGTCAAGTCAATCAGAAAGGCATCTTCTAGATACTTACAATATCCAATCCCAACAAGTTGACAGCGGTAATTGTCTCTAGCAATTTTGTTCCTAGTCCTCAATAACTTCAAGCATAAGGAGGGAGACTATCTCACTTGGTGCCACAGAACATCAAAATAATAGTAGACCCAGATAGGCTGTATCGCTATAGATGATCATTGGAAAGAGGAAGGATACGTGAAGGGTATTAAGCAAGAAAGGCAAGTCAGTTGACGAGATTGTGAATCTTAACCGACTGAGATGGCTTGAACATGTGTCGAACATGCCGACCTATCATCTACTTCCACGTGTAAAGTCACAGCAAGTTGAAATAGATTGGAAGAAGGCTAACGATGACAATATCAACACGTGGCACCAGTTCGTCAAGTTCTTCACTTTTGATCTGAGTCGCATAGGCGTGTGAAGACTGTCTAAGTTCCTTGAGAGGATGAGCTCCAATAATTGGAAACCTTTAGTGACATGGCTGAAAATCAGTCTCTCTTTCACATATCCCAAAGTTCAAATATTTCTATCAAACTTTTTCTGTTTCGATACACTTTTGTCTGCTTAGATATCACCCTTATTCTATCCATTTTGCATGTTTGCGTCAAGGGTAGAAAGTTGAACCGATACCTTTGTACAAAAAGTTCTACGTTGGTTTGACTACCTGTCTGCACTATATCATCAATTCACTGTAGCCGAAAAAGCTGGTCGATGGATTTCAACTCACGCAGAAATGATACTCGATCAATAGTGAAACAAAGTGTTGTTTTCAATCTTATAAAAACTTTTTTTTTATTGTCGAAGAGATCTAGAATAAAGCCAAGATACTTGATAGATACTTTAAATTCGACTGTTTTTTAAAATAATTACGCCTGCTGATGGTATCAATCTTCAGAATGTAGTCATTAGTTACAGTGTAGGCTTACATAGAAACAGTTTTGTTTCACAGATTAACAAAGTATGTTAATAACAATAAGATGCTCATGGGATCAAAGACTGCTGCGTCTTTACTTTGATCGAAATCCAGACTTACAAAAAGAAAACGGTATGTAAACCATATACAAAATATATCTGGACTTCAGAAACAATCTAACACCGAGGCTGTAGATCATTAGCTTAGGTTATCAAGCTTCAACCAGTGGGTCACATATTCCAACTCCACTCCATGTAACGAGATTTGAGAAGCCAGGTAGTACCACTATCCTTTATACAGTTGGTGTGGTTCATACTTCCCACTGCACAGCGAGAAAAAGGCTGAAATGCTTAATGCAGTGAGCCTCACCTGTTTCGTTAGGGCTAGTGATGGTACCTGGCTGTTCGAACCCCGGTAGATGGATTTCAGTTCGGACCCGCGACGCATTGGTTGTAATTCAACTGCCTAGAGCAACAAGCCCTAGCTCCACCGTACAAGACTGCAAATGGTTGATGAGTTACATTTCATTCCAAATCTAGATTCATGTATACCAAGTGGTGATTAACATTCATTGTTAACGACGTGGAGCAAGGCTGGTACAATGATCTAGGTATTCCATTATTAACACAAACCTAAACGGATGGCTACTGTATGACGATTGATGACTCTATTTAACTGCCCAAATCGAAGTAAAATGATGACAACTGGATGGGTGTTATAATCCCTTGCTACATTGTATCACACAGTGAAACGCTAACACGTTAATTATAGACCATGGTCGAAAAATTTATAAAACAAGGTGGTCAATACAGCTTACCGTCCTTAACTGTGACAATCTTGTTATTCATGATAGTTGGATTGATATAATGCGATAGCATATGTGTTAACCTCAATGATTGCATTGATGTCTGTCAAAACAGGATCTCTTCAGAAACATCCCCTAAAACGTTAAAACACAAATGCATAGATAGTAGCAGAAAGCGAATGCAGTAGACCAGAAAAACTTCTACAAATGCGACGAACAGTTATCCTGAAACAGGTGGCGCTATTATCAATTATAGATAGCACCTGTAATAAGTTGTTCCGTCTAACTAATTGTTATTGATAATTACTTTAAAATTATAGTCTCTAACAGATGACTCCCAACATGATAAACCAACGAATCACAGTCAAGCTACGTCGACTAAGCAGTATAAACTACATTATGAGATCTTTCGGCGAAATACAATAATAATGATAATAATGATGGACTTTATGCTGAAAGATATTTCGGGAATACTGTACAGAATTTTCAGCACGTCTTACAGCATCAATTGAACAGAAACAGTGTATATATATACATAATAAGATGAAATGAGTGTAAATTAACTACAAAAGATGAGAATACCTACCCCATCCACAACTTTCTTAAAAATGCAGAGTTAACTTGAGTAAGCAATCCTATTGGCAATTAGATTCATAATACATAAATAATAACATGTTGTGTAGTCATAAATTAGTTTGCTTTCAAAAAAAAAGTTGACCAGTTAGTTCGTTTGTAATACTTTTCTCATCGCACAGAATACCAGCCAAATACGGTATTGTGGAGTTTTTATATATTGTAATACGTGCATAAAGTCTCATATACTTGCTCTTGATCTTGCCTGAGGAACAACACGTAGAGAGCTATGAATAAAGAGGATGCTAATCACCTGACGAAATAACTCTGTTCATATGTTTACATCAGTTGCGATGTTTGTTTCAAATAGAAGGCTCAGAGGTGTACTATTAGTTCTCTCGACAATCTATAAAGTTCGACGCAATATAACAGTCTTCTTTCAGAAAACCAGGAAAGAATAAAAGGGGGGAAATTGGGGAGAATAGGCAAGATGCAAGAGATTGAAAAACATAAGAGAAGAGATTGAGTTATACTGGATACACACAACTCTTTGGGACTTAAGAAGTAGTAAATAAGCCTAGGACACCTGTCTTCAAAAACCACAAAGAGGAAGGTCTGAGGTATTCCAAGCAATAACAGATTCACATCGACCTTGTAAAAAAGTAGGTTTAGCATCTGACTAGTATCAAGTAAACATCGGTTGCTCATCCCACTCACAGCAAATGAATTCTGGTGGTAGGAAAACGTTTATTGATAAGTCTCATTTTTTCTCTTTAAACCTATTTAATTAGGCATCCAGTAACGACTACTGAAGACCAGGGCAGATACATAAGTTGCTCGAAATTACGTAATGAAAAAATTCATCAGTCGCGTGGTGGGTGAACTAACTTTTTGAAGTAGTTTGCGAAGCTATAACTCACTAGTCTCCATGGTCAAATTTTAAGTAAACAATGGGGCAGCGGTTTCAACGCCACTCCATATGAGAGGCAAGCCCAACAGGGTAGCGTTACAACTCTCAAACAACGGCATATCTTAGTGCCCAATGTACGAAGTTCATTATTATTACTATAAACCATGAGTTCTGATCACGCTGCCAAACTTGATGTTGAAGAGGAATTTGTGCTCATGAATAAGCTTCCCCTAACAGCATTATCGCCTCTGAAACCTTTAAAGAATCCAACGAATAAATCGTGATAGGCAGATACATACTCATTATGTCTGCAATTCGCATTCGCATAAAGTTCGGATATAATAAATTAGATGCATATGCAGAAGTGGACGCCAAAATGTTGATGGTTTTAGTCAAAGGCGAACAACCTTTGTAACCACTGCACAAGGAAGTTGTAAAACAGCGCTAAGGATACTTTTCATTTTATTCAGAGGTTCAGAGATTTGAATGTGTCATCCCTATTCACCAACGTGCACATGATGGAAAAAGTGGATTCCATTTGCAGTGAACTGATAGAGATCTGTGAAAATTGCAATTTCAGCATTGACCCTGAGAAAGTTTCCTTCAAGATGTACAATGGACGTGCGCTTCTTCTTTAACAAGGGGTTCTGCAGACAGTCGGTGTTGCTATGGTATTATCACTAGGTCTTATCCTAGCAGGTTTTTTCCTAAAATTGTCCTTTTGGTAGACATAATAAGCGAGTTAAAATCTTACTGCCATCACATGGACGATATATTCCTAATTATGAAAGAACAAGAAAAATACGAGGATTACTGGAAAATAATTATCTGCCCAGACGATACCTCCAACAAAGAACTCAAGATTATCGCTGATCTAATCAGTAGTAACGGATATTTAGTAGTGCTTTTTAGCAAAACATATGGACATATAATATGAAAACTAGAGTACCAACGGCCTCCAAGAAATCGCTGTTTCTAAGATTACAATTTCGGCGTAACATTAGCGAAATTGTGACAATATCTGAGGAATGCTATAAGATCCCTTACTGCAGCAAAACTATGCTGTACATTCGACAGTCGATGCAACTGGCTCCTGTGCAGCCAGCCTACACTCAGGAGAAATCTGCACACCCCCTTTCTTTACCTTAGTCATCTGTACAACTTATTTATTCAAAGATGATTCTTCTTTATTCCACAAATGATTAGTATTATTATTAGATTTTTAGCTATCTTGTTTCTTCTCTTTTCTATCTAATTTTTCTTGCATAGTTACCGCTAGCAACTGACCACTTGAAATAACCACTTATTTCTTCCTCTTGTTGGTCACTAGAATACAAACCATCGCTTATGTTTTCAGAACACTTCATGAATTTGGACAAAGCAAGAGAAGTGAGATTTGCAGAATAAAAGTATTTCACGAATACTCCACAGCTGCTGCCCACGGTCCAAAAATAAAAGAGCTTTTAGGACATAAGATATTCCAAAATACGAAATCAATGATCTCAAACTGCACAACAAACTCATTGAGAATTCACATAACGTGTAGGAGAATTACCAACTGCATAGCAGTAAGAATGTGACAAAGGAAGAACGGCAATAATGAAGCCTTTCCTCTTTGTCCTTTCACGAAAAGAGGAGAAACCAAATTCTAAAAACTCACTTATGACCTGACCTATCTTTTAATTTCCTTCCCACTCCATTGGGACACCTCAGAGGACAAAGCACGAGAATACAAAACCGAATGACGAACGAAGTCTCCGTATGTTACTGGTTTTTTCGTGAGGTAATTAAGTCCTGGAACCAACTACCAGAAGTGGTCCGCGTCATCAAATGACTCCATCAAAAGAGGACTGGACAAGCCAACAGCTCAGGCCGAAAAGATTAACATAGGCTAACAGTCTTTCATCCTCAAACAAAAAATCTGAATCTGAACTCGCCAAGATAGTTTTTTGTGTTTCCGTCTGACATTTACAAAGTGCTCATGATCTCAATGCTGCAGCCGTGGCTAGGAACGGTGGCGTTAACTTCCTTAGCAGTAATCTGAAGGTGTATATCAAACACATCGAAAGTTGAGCGCACAAAAAAATGTTTCAAAAACTGATAAATGTAGGGAAAACAGACAATTACCTGCGATAAGAAAATAATGTAACGCACGTTAGCGACATAAGTGCAGCGTTCATGTTGAATAACGCAACAGTAACCGAATGCTATTTTCGACATCCAATATCACTTACTAGCTAGTGTACACCAGTTGGTTCCAGGATTATATTCTTTGTTTGGAATGGTCATTTGTTTCCAAGATTTAGACAGATATGAAAGGAAAGATGACAAACTAATTAATTAGCTCTCTATTGCCAGTGCTGCTATTATGGATGGATGTCTGTATATACTCCATCTGTTCCAAATAATTCCTTGTGTGTATGAAGCTTCATTTTAAAAAAACTACGAGAAGAGGTAGTTACGACTCCAACTCCAAAGTTTTATTAGTCTAACTGCGAATGAGTTGGCATGCGCTATCGAACGTCCTCCCTTATCTTCTAGTCTGAAACGATGACCTCTACGGTGGTGTTTCGGATCAAAGTTTAAGAACAGTATGTCAGAATAAAGAGGACTGTAGGTGATATAAAACACCGTGACCACACCCTCCCGACCATTCCGGGCTGTGGCGGATGCAACCTACGATCGAATAAGCGCCTCGCGTAATGTTTTTGCCTTAGCCAATCACTTTCCTTGTAGCCGTTATTTGAACCTGTTCTACGATATCATTATCTTCCGTCGACTACAGTGAAATAACTAAAAAATTTTTCTCTGGATAAGGATGCAAGGAGCTGGCCATGTTACCATTACTTATTACCTGACCAGCCTAATATAAATCAATTTGCGCCAATACCAAACCAATCACTATAATTCCTAACTGTAAGTAATGACAAAAAAACACTGTGTGGCAAAACGTGTTTACAAAAGTAGCGTAGCGTCATACACCTCCCCAAAATCAATAGCCTAGGGTTCGACGACACTCAACAATGATGCTGACCTTGATAGTTTAACTGGACTCGCTAAGCTGAAGGCACCCGGTCAAGCATCCTCGCCATTTGGCACGCTGTCGTGTTACGTTGCACTGCTCGTAATCGACTCTCTAGCCAGTTAGTTGGAACTCATCGGTATCTTGGCACAACCACCCAAATATACTATTCCATCCGACTACGCTATCGTGTTCTTCCTTGGTCTCGTATTCGTGGGTATGCAACAAGTCCGAATAATTAGTGATTGGTCTTTGCGTCTGTCAGGTTCGCACAACAACATACATGACGCGCGATATGCTTGAGATGCAGAGTCTCGGGTGAATATTATTTATAGTCTATTTACTTTCCCTTGGGCTCCGACTGGAACATACGGCTTCAGTAGCACGTTGCCATTTCACTCTGTTTTCTCTAATCATTTCAACCTGACTCCATGACTCCAAATAACCTTTCATTTCGTCCTCACATGATCTCCTCCATGTCACCCTCGGACGCCCAACTCATCTTTCCCTCCCTGCGTTCCAGTCAACGGCATGGCCTGGCACGTAGCGTCCCCAGTCGGCCTTCTCAGTGTACGTCCAACCCAAACAATCT